TGGAAGGTAGAGTAAGTAAAAGTTTATTATCCACTTACCATGGGGAGGAAGGAGCCAAATGCTCAAAGGGCAGCGAATGCTTGAGGTTGAAAGCTTTTAAAACTTCCCTTTGGGGGGTAGGGGGCGGGGGTGGGGGGAGGGGAGGGGAGGGGGACTGGCAGGCAAGCATTCAGGGAGCTGACATTGTGGCCATGGGGTCTCTTTCTGTTATCTCTGACAGCAGGTGGACCATTAGCTGGATGGGTGGGTCAGTCACAGATGGTTAATCACATATAAGGGCTGGGCTGGAGCTGAAAGACAAATTCGTGGGAGATGATGACGTTAATGTTTTGTGACTCTCCCAGGCTTCCAGGAGGAAAAGGGTTATTGTCAGGTATGAGCTCAAGGAGACCACAGAAACTCCATCTGGGGCTCTGTCCTTTCACCTTCTTTATCTGTTATGTGATGCTGTGCCAGAGTCAGGTTAGAAAATAAACCACGTTACATAGGGATAGTTACTTTAAAAAACCCATCTTCCTAGACCCCTTTGTTAGGAATTTGGCAAGGTAAACGTCAGTTTAGTCCTCATGAACACGTGGTCACTTGTGGCACAGAGACTTACACATCAAAAAATATTAATTATTTGTCCCTCCCACATCCGCAGTAACACAGGAGGGACAGGATAGTCACTACAAAAACTCCCTTTTAGAAAAGGAAAGAATAGGAAACAAGGTAGTTACTGATTCCTTACAGTGATGAATCCCACTTGGAATGCATAAAATCCCACTGGAAAGGCACTGGTAGTCGTAGAAGTCCCTTGTTTAGATATGCCTCATGCAGTATTTGGGACTTGTACTAAATGTAATAGCATGTCCTGTATTTTATTTTATTTTATTTTGAGTTGGAGTCTCACTTTGTCGCTCAGACTGGAGTGCAGTGACCGCTCCCGGCCACCGCAGCCTTGCCTGCTGGGCTCCGGCGATCCTTCCGCCTCAGCCTTCCAAGTAGCTGGAGCTACAGGCGTGCGCTACCACGCCCAGCTAATTTTCCTGTTTCTTTTTATCTCTGCTCAGAAACGAGCTGGTTCTTGCCTGAGCGTTTGTCTTTCTTGTGCTGCCCTGCTGGATGCATCAGGTTAACAACAGCGTGGCTTTTTCCAACCTCTTCCACCAAAGCCTGCAGGGAGATCCTATGTCCCAAGTTTTATCTGATATTTTGCCAAGGCATGATGTTAGGGTTTCAAACATTCCTATATTTTCTTGCTGCCTAAGTTATCTGCCCGTTAAGCTAATGCTGTAAGTCCTCCACTTCCTATGTGTGACTGTAGTAGCACCCAGGAGTAACAGGTAATGGCTCAGCACAAGAAAAGTTAATGGATCTTTTATACACGTGACAGGCCTGGTGGGGTTATAGGGTCAGCACAGTAGATTTCTTCCAAGTGATGAGTTAGGGACCCAGACTGTTTCTGTCCTTGGCTCTGCCATCCCGAGTTCTCACTGTTATCTGAGCTTATCTGAGCCTATCCAGGGGTAGGAAACAGCCATAGAGGGGCATTCATGGGAGGTTTATAGGTCAGTCTGCATATAGTCCTGTCCTTTCTGTTCACTTCCATTGTTTAAAACTTCATCCAGGCCGGGCTCGGTGGCTCAGCCTATAATCCCAGCACTTTGGGAGGCCGAGGTGAGTGGATTGCCTGAGCCCATGGGTTCAAGACCAGCTCAGGCTACTTGGTGAGACTTCATCTCTACAATAAATAAAAAAATTAGCTGGGCATGGTAGTGTGTGCCTGTGGTTCCAGCTACTTGGTAGGCTGAGGCAGAAGGATCGCCTGAGCCCAGTAGGTCGACACTGGGTTGGCCGTGAGCGTGCTTGCCACTGCACTCTAGCCTGGGTAATGGAGTGAGACTCCAACTCAAAAAAAAAACTTCATCTGATGGCTATATCTGGTAGCAAGGGAACATAAGAGGCATAGTCTAGTTGGGTGCCTTGGAAGAGGAATAGAAGGAGTTTTGGGGGATAGGGCCAGTCTCTGCCACACTGTCAATACCCAGAAGAAGGAAACAGTTGATGAATTGGTTCTTTGTCTATCAAGGTAAGTGACCAGGTTTTTAATCCAATTTTGTTGTCATAATGAATCCATGGTTTAAAATTTCTCACAAAAATAAGTAATAATACACAGTTGTTTAAGGGTTTTCCGTTTTCTCTTCCAGTCAACGAAGCGGAATATTCCAATGCTCTTTGTCCGGGGAGATGGAGTTGTCCTTGTTGCCCCTCCATTGAGAGTTGGCTGAAACAAAGAATGTGTCATGTGGAAAATAGAAGACTTCGTACGGTTGCCTCTTTAAATGTACAAGACATTCAAAAGAGAAACCTGCATACATTTTGATATTAAGAAATGATCTCAAGGAGTCTTCCACTCCTGAAATGAATTGCTTTGCAGATAATTCTTAAGCTAAATGGCATTTTTATTTTTCTCCAATCCTTCTAATAAATATAATTACCAAGATGCAGAATTCTTTTTCAGGAGTTGGTTTGCTCCTTTATTCTTACAATTTCTGACTTTTTTTCCTCTAAATTAAATTTGATGTTTCTTCTTTGATTTTTTTTTTTAATGCAGTCTCCTGTCTTTTGAATTTTTTAGAGTGAGCACATGTCATATCTTCTCTTAGTACACATCTACAGTGCATCTACTCTGCTTCAGGCACCAGGTCAAATGTTGGGAACTGGAGTTTTACCAGTGTGCTTCCTGCCCTCAAGTCTTCAGAGGAGACAGTTGTTTAAACCAGCGATTGGCTAGGCTCGGTAGCTCAGCACTTTGGGAGACCAAGGCAAGTGGATTGCCTGAGCCCATGGGTTTGAGACCAGCCTGGGCAACTTGACAAGACCTTGTCTCTACCATAAAATAAAAAATTAGCCGGGCGCGGTAGTGCACACATGTGGTTCCAGCTACTTGGAAGGCTGAGGCAGAAGGATCACTGGAGCCCGGCAGGTCGAGGCTGCAGTGGCTGGGAGTGGCCACTGCACTCCAGTCTGGGTGACAGAGTGAGACTCCAACTCAAAAATAAAAAATAAACCAGTGATTGCAGGACAGCAAGATCAATGCTGATAGAGTAATGCCTACACAGGATGTCAAAGAGCATGGGGCAGGGCACCCAAAGAGGAACTGGCATGGGGAATAGAAGGCAGGGCAAAGCACAAGTTTCCTTCTCTCTGGCCTGATTTGCTTGTAGTCAGGTGAGGTTCAGCTTGGTCCTGTCCATAAAGTGCTGCCCTTTATGACTCAAAGAAACCATTTTTCTACTCTTGGCTCAGATTAATGATGGGGAGACTAAAACACATCTCCGTGGCACAGTAAAGCACAAAGTGGCTAAAGGCCAAAAACTATCTTTATTTCTAGCTTCAGTCAGCCAGCACTTAATGCTGGGGTTCCCAACACCCTGGGCCACAGACTGGTACCAGTCCGTGGCCTGTTGAGAACTGGGCCACAGCCGGATGCAAGCAGCGGGCAAGCAAGCAAGGCTTCCTCTGTGTTTGCAGCTGCTCCCCAGTGTGTGCGTTACCACCTGAGCTCCACCTCCTATCAGAGCGGCCACAGCCTTAGACTCTCATGGGAGCATGAACCCTGTTGTGAACTGTGCACACGGGGGATCTAGGTTGCTTCTTGTGAGAATCCAGTATCTGATGATCTGAGGTAGAGCTGGGGCAGTGGTGGTGGTGGTGCTAGCCCTGGGAAGCGGCTGCAAATACAGACTAACATTAACAGTGAGCCTTGACTGCATGGAGACCATAATAAATTTCAAAATTTCATATTGCAATGTAATAATAGAAATAAAACGCACAATAAATGTAATACACCGGGGTCATCCTGAAACCAACCCTCCCCCCAGTCCATGGAAAAACTCCTCCACGAAACCGGTCCCTGATGACGAAAGGGTTGGGGCTGCTGGTCAAGGGGCAAGTAAATGTGTGTGACAACCTCTGAAACTTGATAAGTACGGTGCTTAGAACTTGCCAGCCTCCACTAAGGGTGTTCCATTTTGAAATGTGGAAAACCCAACTTTTGGGTTGGTCTATAAACCTGCTGAATGTGTTTGCTCATCCGTTATCAAGCAGGGGAGGCAAACAGATGCACGATATTTTAAGCCGTGTGAAGAAAGATCCTTTCAGTAGACATTGTACTAGAAAGCCTTTGTTTTCCTTATTCATTGTACATGTCCCTGCAAGTTCATGGAGAAGAGAGAAACAAGTGTGGGCGAGCCAGTGGAGGTTCCATCTTCCCTGAGCAGGAGAGACACCCTCCTGTCATTTCTGCTGCCCACACTTTGTCCTCAGGCTTCAGCGGTCCCAGGAGGAAACCTGCTGACAGCAGCCTGCTCACTTCTGAAAATGGGACTTGGGATTATAGCAGCAGCAAGTGGCTGTCCTTTGGATCACCCTTTCTGGGCAGTACTCTCGCCTAAGTAGTAGTAGTGGCAACAGTAATGGCCATCGTTTATCAAACAAAGCGCCTCAGGTAAAGGCATTTATTTTTTTATTTATGTTCTTTAGAGAAGAGGTCTCACAATGTTGCCCAGGCTGGTCCTGAACTGGGCTCAAGCAATCCTCCTGCCTCAGCCTCCCAAAATCCTGGGATTTCAGGCATGAGCCACTGCACCTGGTAGCAAAGGCATTTTATAGACATACCCGTGTTTAACCCAACAGCACCAAGTAAGGTGCCTGTGGTCACACAGCTAGGATGTGGCCTTGGGGCTGAAACCATCTGACTGACTCCTACCAGGGTAAGCCTGTTGTGCGGGCGCACGACTGAGGTCCTGGCTCTGGCAGTGACTTGATTCACAGTGTCCGCCGCAGCCATGGTCTCACTGGCCGTCTGGCCCTGGTTCTTCTTTCTTTTTTTGTTTTTTGAGTTGGAGTCTCACTCGGTCGCCCAGACTGAAGTGCAGTGGCCACTCCCGACCACCGCAGCCTCGACCTGCTGGGCTCCGGTGATCCTTCCGCCTCAGCCTTCCAAGTAGCTGGAACTACAGGTACGCGCTACCACGCCCGGCTCGTTTTTGATGTATTGTAGAGACGAGATCTCGCCAAGTTGCCCAGGCGGGTCTTGAACCCGCGGGCTCAGGCAATCCACTCGCCTCGGCCTCCCAAAGTGCTGGGATTACAGGCTGAGCCACCGAGCCTGGCCTGGCCCTGTTTTTTCATCACATCTTGCAGTTCTCTCCAGCGCTGCATTCACTTTCAGTGACTTCAGAGATCTACGCTTTACTCCTGATCACTTTTACTCATCCATTCTTGATTATCATTCTCCTTTTTCTCCTGGAACAGATAGATTGCACTAGATTGTTTGGCTGTGACACATATGTGTTTATACACATATGTTTCTAAAACCCATGAACCTTAAAATCTGACACAGCCAAATCTCACACATGGACAAAACTCTATTGCAACCTCCAAACTTACTCCTAGCTGCTGATATACAGGGAGGAAGAAAATAAAGTAACTGCATGATAACCATCTGTGTGTTACCAAGTGGATGAGTATTGGGAGCCCTCTAGAGCTGGGACTCAGTCCACAACAGGTGGCTCAAGCAGGGCCCTGCCACAATCCCCCAACAGCCAGGTTTCCTCTGCTGGTCCACAGAAGTGCTGTCCTGAGAAATTATGCTGTCAAGAGGGCCCCTGGGAGCCACACCTTGGCCTTCGGGACCGCACAGCACTGAGCTCAGCTGCTGGATGGCCCATGGCCATTGGAGCTGGTGATGGGTGGTTTGTGTAACATAGTTTCAGAATAGCTCAAGAGGGGTTCTCTGCAGCAGGTGTCACATCTGGACCCCTGACTGATGTTTTGTAGAAAAGATTGTTAGGAATTATCTTTTCCTCCCCCAGAGGTGAACAGACAAAATGTAGGACCACAGATTCACCTTCAAAATGAAATGTGCCCACATAGAAGCCCAAGTAACTTGAGTATCCAAGTTAAGCTAAAATTATCTACAAATGGGCAGTTTTTACATTTCAGTGGTTTTTGAAGTTTTAAGTGATTTTTGAAGAGGTTATCCTTCTGGACACTAAGAGGCAGAAACTGGTTTCACACACCCTTTGACTTCCTCTTACATGTGACAGCTTTTGCCCACATTGCTTTGAGCCTGCTGCCAGAGGAGGAGGAATGTTCCATGGAGTGAACAGTTGCCAGCCGTGAGTAACACCTGTGTTGAACATGGAAAATAACCGAAAATTCTAGGCATCATCCTGGTGGATCAAGAAACACAACTGATGTTTCTCTATGCCACTCAGCTCTGCTGAATGATACCGATTTCATTCTTGGGCAAGTCTTCCCTGCGACAGATCCGGACGTCCCACTAACCTTCCTGCCAGCTGCAGTGGTCTCATTCTCTTTGACAGTGTGCCCAGCTGTGGGTTAGTCGTGGCAGCCATGAGAACATGGGGCTCTGATTAGCCAGGTCTGGGCCCTATGCCGATGTCTGTAACTAAGAGCAAGGTTATCCTCACCTGATCCACGTGGTCTTGTAGCAGGAAAAATAGAGAGATCGTGACACCGAGACTATTATAGGAAGTGGTACTTTATTACGCTGGCTAGCACAGCGGGCTCAATGGAACTAATGCGTCCAAACCGAGCATGCCAGAACAGGAGACCCGGGGTCTTATACCCTTGTTTAGGTAAGGGAGGGGGGTCGTGTGGAGTGATTACATATTTGGAATCTTACAAGGTTGTACTCAGCAAAATCAGATTTTTCAAAGAACAAATGGTTTCTAGGAACTGCAGGCTTGTAAACCGTCAACTTCAGAAGGGAGGTTTTTGGGTAAGTCTGTGAATTAGCCACTCTTTTTGCATATCCATTAAATAGCTAGTCTTTGGGCCATTTGGCCTTTCCCAAACAAACCTGACTGGCTCTGGGCGGGTCTTTAAAGTTGCAACTTGCCTTTCAAAAGGAAATACCTCTTAACCTGCTATCAACCCCTTTTCTGCCACTGGGCCAGTGTGAGTCAGCCCAGGTGAGGCCAACTGCTGATCCCGAATCAGCTACATCTATTTCTGTGTTTATTCACTCAATCAAACAAGAAATATATTTGAGCATATGCTACATCCTGCCACAGTCTGTGAGTGGGGAAGGAGTAGTTCGCTAAAGGAAACCAGAGAGATGGGGAAATGCTGCTGGAGACAATGCCTATGACGTAGGGATCACTTTCAGTCTGCTCTAACTTACAGAGAAGGAAATCCCTCTGGTACTTTATTATTACTAACACATTTCTTGGAACATACTTCAGAGTGACACTGATTTTAAGCGATTGCTCTGGAATCTAGTAGGTTCTGGAGCAGACTGGGAGAATCAGTGTGGGTGGAGCTCAGACTTGTTTGTTGGTGGATGAGTAGGCAGATGGCGACAGGAGTTCCCCAAGGAGGTCTAGGTGGGGGACCTGCAACACAAGGGAAGTGCTAGGCCAGGTGGGTGATGGAGTCCTCAGAGCTTCTGAGGAGGGCAGTATACTCGAATAGAGGGAGTT